CAGGACAATCAAATTTGGGAAGAGACTAGAATTCTTCGTTCAGATACTTAAATATTTTTACTTACACGTGTAGCGTTGTTGCTGCTTTAAGCCTTGGCATGCATTTGGAGTATTAATTTTGTCCATTATCGGATACAAAACGAATAAAATACTGTTTATATTGATTTCTTTTACTTTCAGCTATTTTTCTTTGCATTCTGAGGATATTATTTTTGGTTTGCAAAATTTTTCAATATACCGGGTGTTAGTTAATATTCTATGTTTATTTCATTTAATTAATGTATGATATACTGAGCTAAGATTGTAGGTATCCGATCTGAAATTCATAGCATTGTTATGTTTTTTAATCTGTATTATTTCATGGACTCTTCTCTTATTATAATTACTCTCGTTAATCAGTATTTTTGTGTTATCAAAATCAAAATTATGCAACTTCTGTTGTGCATGCTGTGCTAATGCTGTGCCATTTTCGTTATTTTTTCTTAGGCTATACTTATGTTCGTATATTCTCTTCTTTAGATGTTGTCCTGTTTGACCTATGTATGTGTTATCACAATTCAAACAGTCTATTTTGTAAATTACATTAGGCGTGTCTAACTTGTCAATTTTTTTTTTAACTATGTTATTTAAAAAAACTGATGATGGGGGAAAAATACACCGAAACGTATTTTAATTGATAAATAAAGACAACCCAGGAAATAATTTTGATTTGGAATTGAAACACAGTCAGGAAAGTATATACAACTTGTATTTATTGTCGCCCTACGAACATTCTGTCGGTGATGAACTGTTCGACTCCTTGCTCTTGAAGGGATAGTAGGGATGGTTTTCCACCCCTTTGAAGAACAAGAAGTTGAAAATTCTCCCATTCTCCCCCCGGTCCAGCTGATCCAGCTGCTCCACGTCCTGGAGCGCCAGCTCAAAATCAAACAGACTTATGTTGGATTTGATTCGTTCCGGATTGCCACTCTTCGGGATAACTATGACGCCCTCCTGGATCAAGTGTTTCAGCAAGATCTGGCCAGGCGTTTTCTCGTACTTCTGTGCCACTTCTCTCACTGTCGGATGCCCTAATATGTCGGGAAAATCATCCAATCTGGAACAGCATTAAGATCAGTGGCTGAACGGTGATTGAACATGGCACTTACGAGTACTGGTACTTGGAGCTGAAATGCGTGTTGGCCCCGGGACTCCCCAGGGGGGAATAAGCCGTCACTGCTACGTGTAGTCGCTGGCACACCGCCCGCAGCTCGCGTTGTTGCAAATAAGCATGCATTTCAACCTGTAGAACGTCGGGCTTGATATCCGCATTATCATAGAGTCGCTCCAGTTGCTCAGCATTGAAGTTCGACACACCGATTGCTTTGATTCGGCCCATTCGAACCTGCTCTTCCATCACCTTCAATTGTGGCAATTGCAGAATGAATACAACGGCAGCAGATTTGGGGTCGCACCTTCCAAGTGTCCAGATAGTCCACTGGATCCAACGCAAAACTCCCATCGTCATTCACCAGAGGGGACAGGGAGCATTCGTTCAGCTGAAAGCTGAATGGCATGTGAATGAGGTAGAGGTCTACATAGTCAAGGTTGAGTTTTTTTAAAGACAATTTCAAGAACCGCTCTACATCGCTGGGTCTTCCTCCAAAGTTTGGGAGCTAAAAGGGCGTGATTAACTGCAATTAATACTCCCACTGCGGGCAGCAAGTGACTGTATATGATACCTTGGTGGTGATAAACAGTTCATTTCTCTTGACACGTCCCGATCCCAGCCAATTTTTCAACACATTCCCAATGGCTTCTTCGGTGTTGTAGTTGAATGCTGTATCTAGAACAGGTGTCGATTATGAAGGCCTCTTAGTTGATTGGTTGTGGTTTGGGTACCGATGTGTCGGTAGTCGCACTCTAAGGCCACATTGACGGCATTTTCCATTTCATGGGGCTGCGCCCTCCAGGTGCCGAGCCCCACCATGGGCATTTCCTGGCCACTCGTCGCCAGCTTAATGGTTTTCATTTTATTTACCGCACACGAGTTCGTCCTAGAAAAAACTAGACTGGACGATAGGAAATTTGCGTGACCGATCTTGGCGGTATTTTTAGACTGACGTTTTTGAAACAAGCGTGACGTGTTTTCGCTGATTTTTGTTTTAGTGTCGCGAAAAAAAAGGCTGCGACCTTCACAAAAATGGGGCAATATCGATTGAACCGGAATAAACGGCAGGCGCTCTTTTGTCAAAGCTTGCGCGCTGGAAATGTGCGAAAATATAACTGTAAAGGGGGCTGTTTGAAAACATGTTGGATCCATTACTAACTTACTATTTGAAAGTTTGACTTTTCATAGCTGGACACAATATTTGCTCTCTATTGATGCCTCACTGACCAACGTGTGCGGCCTGATTTAATTAGATTTTTAATTTCCCAGTAATTGCTTCTGAAGGATCGCAATATTTGATAGCTTGACGTTCAGCTGCCAAACTGACAAACTGTCGCAATTATGATTGAACGGCCTGCAGAAAACAGACAAGTTCCATGAAAAACTCCTGTAAAAAGCGAAAAATTAGTGATCTTAAGGTGACGGTGATTTAGAACTGGAAATGGATGGAGCCGCAACTGAACGAAAGGTGCGCAAAATGAAAATAATGAAGAGCTTAAACACCTTTAATTATTTATCTAGATATTTTATTATTATTATTATTATTATTATTATTGAT